ACTCCAGCTGCCATAGCTAGCTCTTGGCTTTTGTTCTATCTCCTCCTCCCCCTACTTTCTCTTCCCTCCCTCCCTCCCTCCCTCATTTTCTTATCCCTTTCCTGTACCATTTGAGCCTTTTGCCTGGTTTTATATCATATATATATCCTATTACCTTTTCCCTCTCATAGTTCCCTTCCTAGTTTCATGACATACAGCCCCCCACAAAAGCTAGGTTCTATATAGGAAGAGAACATGTAGAATTTGTCTTTAGGAACCCCCTGAAAAGAAACCTGTCCCCCATTAACAGTGACTCCTCATTTCACATACTTTCTTCTCCAATCTCCCAAGTCCCAGACTTTAGCCACTGTTTTACTCTTTCTCCCCAGCCTTGTGAGCTGGGACTGTCTCACACAAATGTCAATGTGGTGGCTTAAGTAAGAATGGCCCCCATAGGCTCCTATGTGTGAATGCTTAGTCATCAGGGAGTGGTACTGTTTGAGAAGGATTAGGAGGTGTGACCTTGTTGGAGTGAGTGTGGCCTGGATCGAGGAAGTGTGTCATGGCGGGTGACCTTTGAGGTTTCAGAAGCCCATGCCAAGCCCAGTTCTCTCTCTGTGTCTGCTGCCTGAGGATCAAGATGTAGACGTTCAGCAACATCCTGTACCATGCCCACCTTCCTGACACCATGTTCCCTACCATGATGATCATGGTAAGCCTCTGAAACTGTTAGCAAACCTATACTTTAAATGTTTTCCTTTGTAAGAGTTGCTGTGGTCATGGTGCCAATAGAACACTGACTGAGGCAGTCATCTATAACATCTTGTCTTCTTTAGTTGGCTTCTTTGTTTCTGTAATGTCTTAAAGGTCCCATTGTGTGGTGGTAGTATATATCAAAACAATAGTCCTTTCTAGTATTGAGGAACATACTGTATGTATTCTTCCATCAGTCAAACTGTAATTTGAATTGCAGTTGTTTCCACATCTGTGAGGCTGTGAACATACATGTATATATGTTTGTGAAGATACAATTTCCTGTCTCTGCATATTTTCTTGGAGTGGAATTGTTGGGTTATCTGATAACTTGCTGGCTATTTTTATATGTTTGTAGAGAATTTTTACAACATTCTCTATTATTTTTATCTTCAGACAGGATAATTCATACATGTTAATATACTTTTTCTCATTGGCTTTATAAAAATTTTTATTGGAGTTTAAAAAATATTTCATTCAGCCATCTTGTTTCTTATGACAAAAAATCCATTAATTAGTCATCACAAATGGTCCTAGCAGCACCTGGGGTTCTGGTCCCCCCGCCCCTATTTTTTTAAGTTTAGAAGTGATTTTGGTCTTCTGACCATCTGCAGTTGATAAGATGAGTTGTGCAGACTTGGTGCAGGGTAGGAGCAGTAGTCAAGAGAGATTCCAGAAGGAGCAGGTTGACAGTTGCCCTTTCTTGTCTTACAGAGGAGCTCCCCACAAGACAATGGAGAGACCATGAAAGGGGAAAGTACTCATTAGTAAAATGCCATTTTGCTCATTATAGCTTTAATGCTGCTGGGTTCACCTCAGGGGCAAGCTGGGGAAACCTGCCCGTCTCCCCATCTTTCAAAGCCTTACAGGTTTCGGATTTACTTTTGTTCCTTGTCATCCTCTTCATTCTCCTGCTTTTGAAATAAAACAGTGCACTAGGCTGTACGAAGTGGGAAGAAGTACTGTAGTTTCCAGTCATACACATTTGATCACAGTGTCTTCCTAGTTTTCAGAAATAACTCTGAAATCAATTTAAAATGTCGGTTGCTTTAGCAGTAGAGAACGCAGGGAATGTGCCAAAGTCCTGAGTCTCTTGCCTTTCAATTCTGGGTGTGAGATTTGATTCCCAGGGAACTGAAGCATAGACTCAGATGGTGGTTATGGCTGCAGGAAGTTCAGGCATAAGAGAAAGGTCTGACGCTGGGCTTATGAGCAGGCCATGCCTTCAGTTCTGGGCCAGGTATATCGACACTTCTAAGGTGCTGTAGTTCTAACTGGAGCTTTAAAACTTCTCCTGGGTTCCACCCTGGTCTCTGCTAGATTCCCCACTGTTATGAGGTCCCATACTCCTCACCTATATAATAAGAACTGGAACTATGTCTGTATCATACATAATTGTGACACTTGAAGATGGGTGTGATGAGCATAATGCCTGGAATAATAGAACTGCCCATACTGCAGAGTCTTCTAGCTTTTATGCGGCTGAACTACTATTTCATTGTGGGTGTCTAGCATACTTCCTCTATTATTTGTTGATGGGCATTTAGGATTTTCACTTCTTAAGTTTTACTGTGGTGAGTGTGAGGAGTGCTAATATCCCTGAGATATGGAGTACTTGAGACATTTAAATTGATCTGCCATTCTATCCCAAATGATTCTAAGTACAATACTACGTTTGTCAGTGTGATACTGATTGGTTTAACTCAACAGTTTTACGTGGTCTCAATAACAGTTTTTTACCAATTCTCTTTTCAAAGATAAAGAGGTGTCAGCTATCTCTCTGGGTTGCTATTGACTTTTTTGTTTTTTCAAGACAGGGTTTCTCTGTGTACCTTTGGAGCCTATCCTGGCACTCGCTCTGGAGACCAGGCTGGCCTTGAACTCACAGAGATCCGCCTGCCTCTGCCTCCCGAGTGCTGGGATTAAAGGCATGCGCCACCAATGCCCAGCGCTATTGACTTTTTGACATACCTTTTTTTTGTTTGTTTGTTTTAATTAGAAGGGGTATTGTCTTTTTTAAAAAGTATGGAAAATGCTGTCATATACACAAGTATACAAGGAAGGAGCTCTTTATTACTCATGGCTAGTTTGACATGCTCACAGCGAATGTCTTTCTGATGCATTGGGAATGCTGTCTCTCTTCACTGTATCTTCCATTCCAGTGCAGGTACCTCCATCTCCATCAGACAGCCCCACCCCAAGTCATCTCTGTCTTCTCCGGATTCTAATAGCATTGCTCTTACTTCTCTTTGGAGTTACAAATTGAGCTTTGAAATGTAATTACTTGTATTATTTCCCTGATAAAATGTAAGTGAGCAAAACATCGGCTTGAACTCTAACACATAAAATACTGGGTATCTACTTTAGTCAGTGTACTGTGCATTTACACACAGATGTGGCTCACATGGCTCCTGCCGTTTCCTCTGACCCCCTCTTGTGTGTGTGTGTATCTCAGTCTCCGTCTCCGTCTCTCTCTCTCTCTCTCTCTCTCTCTCTCTCTCTCTCTCT